TGTTTTGATTTAGGAGAATTACATTGTCAGTATCACTTAAGCAGGATGTAAAATCATCTGCATTGTAAGTAGTCAATAATATTTATTAAACAAATATTTACTTTGCATGTACTATGTCCAAGTATTGTGCCAAGTGCTAGTATCGCTGTTGCTCTCACCATTAACTCTCTGGTGACCAATTCAGGAGCAAAGGCACCCAGGAAAGGAGCTAGCTAAGTCAAAGTGGGGGATTGATAGGTTTCTGTAGAACACAAAATATGCTCTACCTACCTACCTACCTACCTATTTACCCGTCTCTCTCTCTCTCTCTCTGTCTATTTTTATATCCAGATTTTTAAAATTTTAGTAAGAGTTCTAGGGACAAATTTAAAAGCTTTCATATTTTCTCTCTCCTCTTGGAAAATTTTAATAGTGTACTTAGAAGTACAATAAAATTTAGTTTCTAAAATGTTAGGTTGTTGTTCTATTAAAGTTAATCTAACCCTATTTTGGTTATTCTTAGGCTTTTTAAAAACTTTATTATGGGCTTATTTAGCTAGAGACATTAGACATATAGTTCTCTAGGAGTAAATATTAAAATAAGTAGACATACAACAAATTTTTATGTATGCTAGTTATAATTAATGATAAAGCTTTTAGTAATTATCCCTATTAGTATAAATTTACAACCCTACCACATGCAAGATATTATTATTTAAAAGTGATCACCAATCAAGCTAAAGCTTTCTTGTGAGGTGAATAAATTCCCTTTATGGAAAGTGTGTAGGACTTGTAATAGAACAAGCAGGTTTATTATAACGAATTATTTTCACATGGAATGAAGAACCCACTATTTCAGGAAAATTGTCTATTCACTTGTAACATGAAGGGTTAAGGAAGTAGAAATTAGTAGTTGATAGATGGTCACAGGGATGGGGAGCACCGAATAGGGAATGCAGTTAGCATTAATGTAATGGCTAGGTGTAGAGCCAAAGGAGAGAAAGATCAATCAGGGAGATCATTTTATAAACTATATAAATGTCTAACCAATGTACTGTATACTTGAAATTAATAATAAAATTTAAAAAATAGATTAAGAAAATGTAAAAATTAATAATAAAATTTAGAATCTGTAAACTTCTTTTTACACTTAAATACTGATCAACTTTCCCTATGTTTAATGATATACTACCTAGAGAAAAGTTAGTAATTATTATGTCAATTACTTAATAGAACCTGGTTCTAGCTGATTATATCACTAAAATATATTCGGAAATATAATATTAATTTGTAAATTTCATCTGGTGACTAGTTGTTCTTTAGTGTTTTCAGTGGCTTCCTTTCAATAAAAGTTTAGTTATGTAACTACTTAAATCTTTGAGAAATCACTCACATATGTCAATTACCTGCATCCAACCATGGTAGGCCTTGGAAAAAATGTTATTAAGAAGGCAAGGCTTGAGATCTGTTCAAATTACCCCTTTTTCTTATCTCTCTTCCAACTTCCATGGCCCTATTGGCTAGACTTTCCCAAGCGGCCCCATGCTCTTAAGCTCCTCTCTCTTCCAGTTCCACTGTCCTATTTTGCCTGCATTTTGGTTCCATATTCTCTAACAAATCTAATTTGTAGATTTGATTCTTCATTCTCTCCTATCATATACTTCATACACTATTATACATAATCAGCTGCATATTTTCATTCCAATGCAGCACGTGCATGGCATTTTGAAACACAATATGTTAATAATGGATCTCTAGGTGAAAGCACTATTCCTTTCTGGAAATATCCTGTGGTTTATCTGCCTCCATATAATTTGTATTTAACTTCAGCTCTTTGTAACTACAAAAAAGATATGTGGTTCTGAAGTCTAAAGTACATAAAAGCAAATTTAAAACTTAAAAGTTAAAACATGATTTAAACAATATGTTTCTAAGGCATGTTCCAACCAATACATTATGTTTGAGTAATTTTCTTTCTATGCATTTATTTTCTAAAAGGAGCACATAATTTCTACACATTTCCACAACTTCACTGATTGGATTTATGGACATTTTCTCTAGTTCCATATATTTTGTAGCATGTAGGAGAATTCTACTTATGTGTCCTGAAATGCCACATATCAAAAATATAATTTAACATCTATTCTATGCTCCTATTTCTCATGATTATAAATGACAAACTTATTCTCACAATATTCAAAGTTCAGAAGTGGAAACATTGGTTGTCTCCTTCCCTTTGGTCTTCACATTTATCTGATTTTTAAAATGTTTCTAATAATTTCTCCACAACTAATTCCAAATGTCTCTTCTATTATTTTATTACTTAGACCATCATCCTCCTGTTCATCTATCCACAGCCAGGTTCAGGTTATGTTAAAAAATTTCAATAGTTAATGATTTAACTCTGCAGAACTCAGAATAAAAGTTGAATTTACGCTATAAAAGGAGTACATTATAAAATAAGCAAGAAATTTAAATTTAGTGATTTATTTAGCACACACTTAATATGTACTTACTATATGTAAGTCACTATTATAATCCACTTAGAATTACTACCTCATTTTATCCTCATGCTAATGAGACATGTAGAGGTTAAGTAAGATCCCCGCTATCCTACAGCTGACAAGTAAAGGAGCCAAGATACTAACACAGGCTATTATCACCTGATCACTATATCATGTGGTTATATGGCATGTTTACAATGTGTAATTCTGTGCTAGCTGCTAATGATTCAATATCCCAACACCTATAGCAAATTCAATAGATTTTTAAAGTATTATTTCATAAAATAACATATACTTACAAGGAATTTCCCTGTATCCAATCTCTAAAGCATGAAAGTAATTCATAAATTCTCTAACTGGAATTTTAAAAGCTTCAAAGAGGCCCATGTCTTCAAAAAGTCTGTATGATACCTGTAAAAGAGAAGGACAAAGCCTTAAAAACATTCCTGAATGTGTACGAAACATGAAAAAAAGAAGAAGAAGACATTAATTTGTGGCCAGCAGAGACACTGATTGGGAACAATAAATCAAATAGATAATAAAGGCCATTATGTGCCTGACCCTTGTAGTCCCTGACCACAACGGGTATATAATTTATTTTTAAAGGTACAGACATACAACCAAGAAAAAGTAGCAACAAAAACCAGTATATACTATAGAATCATATCAAGGCACTAAACTGTGTGTGATAGCAATAACTAGATAATACTTAACTAAATTGATAATTGTATAGTATAGTACATACTATAAGCACTAATAAAAGAATGAGAGACTTTAAATTTAAACTAATTTTACACATATATACACACATATATATATACATATACATGTGTATATATAAACACATATATATATACATACATATACATGTGTATATATATACACACATATATAGTTTTCCAGAGGATAAAGAATTCAGAGTTGTACCTTAGTGAAGGATAAGAGGAAAGAATTGTGTATGAGAGAAAAAAGACTTATCCAGTATAAATAATAATGTCTAAACTATTTTTCCTAGCTTTTCTTCTTTCTTCTCTGAATATCTATTCTATATCTAATTCCTTTCACATCTCTAGTGATTCAAATAAGTGAATACCTTTAGCTGTAACTGGCATATTTGACATGTAAATGATGAGAAAAAAAGATAAAGGTACAGAAGACGGTAATGAGGAAAGAAATGGTTATTCACATGGCAGAATGGAGTACAGCACCATTTAAAGTGGTCTTACTCAATGTCACAAAGCACACTGTTGGTTATAATTCAGATTTTAAGAATAAATTATTCCTCATTTTTATCCTCCGCATTCTTTCTTAAAATTATCTTGAAATATATCTTTTAAATCTTCAACATATTGCTTCATAGTTTCATTTCCATCTTTTGTTATTGACTTTATATCTATTCAAATTTGATAATATTCTTTTAATTATATATTGTTTATTACATACATTATGTACATATGCATGTATATACGCACATGCATATATAACTAAAAAAGGGGTTCATTCATTCAGCATATATTTATTGAGTGCCTTCTACGTTCCAGACAATTTTCTATGTGTGAGGCATGTATACATAGGTGAACAAAACAAAGATCTCTCCCTTCATGGAACTTATGGTCTAGTGGGGATAGCCGTAAATAATAGGCATAATAAGTAAGGTATATACTATGATGGAAGGTCATAAGTCTTATAAAAAGAAAGAAAAAGAGGAGCAGGGATGGAGGATTAGGAGTATAGAGAAGGTATAGCATTTGCTTTATAAAGTATGGGGGTTAGGGTAGGCATATTCAGGTGACATTTGAGCAAAGAATTTAAAAGAGATGTAAAGTGAGGTACATGGATATCTGAGGAAAGAGTTTTCCATGTAGAGTAAAAAGCCAGTACAAAGGCCCTATATGCTTGTTATACTCTAGAATACAGTAAGAAGTACAACATGGCTAAAACAGAATGATGACAGGAGTAGAGTTTAAAAGTGGTAACTGCAGAGTGGAACTGGTACAGTTTTGGAGTTTGACAGCCACATTGACCATTATAAGGGCTTTCACTCTGAGTGAGGTAGGGAGCCATTGAAGACACTGGGGCAGGGAAATAACTTTATCTAACATATATCTTAAAAGAAGCACTGTAGTTGCTGGTTGGAAACAGAGTATATAATATGTATATCAACTTCTATGTGCTTTTTTTTCACTCTCAATGGCATGTATATTTAATTTTTTACTCTTGTTCTGTGTAATGTAGCATCCCTACCTCCTCTTTTTAAAAATGCAATAGAAAGCAAAGTTTATAGTTTCTACACTTCAAGCTAGTACTTTTAGTTATCTCCTCTTTACTATTGTTTTAAATGATATTTGAGTTCTTGTTTACAAATACCTAATACATTTAACTATGCATGTTACTTCAATAATAATACTGACAAAAATAACAACTGCTGATATATATATACACATACGTATATATAAATATATTTAGCATTTCATAAGTGAGATGCCTTATCTAAGTAGTTTATATGTGTTATTTACGTATAATTAATCTTCATAACACTTTCTGAGATAGGTACTGTTAATTACCAACATTTGAAAGCAGAAGAAACTGAGGCACACAGAGGTTGAGTGGCTTGTCCAATATCACACAGCTGACACATGATCAGAACCAGAATTCAAACCAAGTATTTTGGCTTCAGATTTTGTACTCTTAACTGCTTCTAATACCACCACCAGTATTTGAAAAGCTCTGTTGTTAGAATTGCATATAATTAACATTTCCGATTATTCTCTTAAACACTTGAAAGATGAATTGAAAAATTAAGACAACAGGATATTTTACAGTATATTTCAAAATAGAACAATTTTCACCAAGAAGCTGTTAAAAATCATCTACCAATAATACAAACTCATAAATAAACAACAGCATGAACCAGGTAAATACTGGTAACTGAAAAACAAATAAGCATTATTTAAAATCTGAATGATGTCCTTTTAAATTTGTTAAAATAAACACGATAATCATCAAAAAGGCAGGCAGTATATTGAAACTGAGAAGTCCTTTCCACTGCCCATGTCTCTTTCAAAGTCTTTTGAAGTGAGACTTTTTCTGTGTAGTTTTAGCCAAAAGGTGATTTGTTGGAATGTTCAAGTTAATTTATTTCAGCTGTCCTAAAGTCTTACTAAGGTGAAAAAATATGCCTTGTACACAGTAAAAATTTCATAATTTTTGTCCTCACTCAAATCAAAGGTAAAAACCCATCAAGTTCTATTTAGCTAGGTCAATAAAGCTTAATGTATATATTCATTTTATTTTTGAAAGATGAATTTTGTTGAAATCTAATTGTTAATTATCTCTAATCTCTCTAATGTCTACTCAGCTTCGCGACTCTTAGAAAATATTTTGTGGCAAAGCTGGACAAGTTTTATCCTCCCACCACCCCAGCTCACAGAACTACCAGGGGAGCTAGGTAGCTGCAATGATATTTGGTATGCTGTCACTTGTGCTGTAAAACCAACTGCTGTAACTACTTTCTTCTTGCTCAGACTCTCCATTTGGAGAGTTTACAAATATAATAAGTGAATGCGTTTCATGGGGGGCTGAAAAACAGTTTAAATGAAGGTAAAAAGGCTGGACTTCCAATATGGATATATCTGCCTTTAAATCACGAATCCAATATTTAGTATATGACTTTAGATGAATAGTGTATCCTGTTTTAAGCTTCAGTTTTCTCTTCTGTAAAGTAGAGATTAAAAAAATATATGTGCATCAAAGTTACTTTGAAGATTAAATTGTAGAGTTTGGGGAAGTCTGTGACTTGTATACCAAATACAAAACAATATGACTTTTTTTTTCTATACCGGGAAAAAGAGAAAGATGACTTTTTTTCCCTCTGGTAAAAGAGAAAGATGACTTTCTGGCCCATTGGCACATCTTCCTTTGGCACCATTACAGGTATATATCCAGGAAAAACGACTACCCAGAGTCACATTCTGCAACAGGTTTCAAAAAGTAGGATGCAAAACCTCCCAGGAGGAGCCCTGATGTGTGAAGCTTAGGTACATTGGATAAGAATGCCTTTAAACCTGTCCTCAAGATTAGCTAGCATTGAAAAAAAAAATGTTGCTTAGCACTGAGTAGAAAGAAAGAGAATGGGACTATTCATTCACAATGAAAGACCAAGGGCTGCCATTTTTGTGCGTTCTTGGTCAGAATAGAGTCTAATGGCGGCAATGACTATGTATTATATACACTATGTAGTTATTTTGAGTTTCGTATTCCATCAATCATTTTAGCATCCTTCTTTCATATGTAGCAAGTTAAATTATCATTATTTTGACATATCTAATTTCCCCTACCAAAACGAGTATTCCTTTAAGGCAGGAACATATTTTTCTTCTTATAGACTTCGTGTTTGTGTAACCAAACAACAGAGAAAAAGACCCTTCTATCTTCTTTCGTCAAACCTTTATGAATCAGAGACCCTCTCCCCTAAGTTCCACACTCATATACTTATTGGGAGGTCCAAACAAAGCCTGTGTGATGTTCAGAGTAGAAATCAAGTAACAAGTGATTTCCATTCCAGTGTGTTGCAGGGAAGTATTAGTCACCCCAATAAACTGGGTCCTGAATTCTCACTTAAGTTTTCTATTAACAAGTTATATAGTCTTCAGTCACTCCACTGTGATATTTATTCAACCTATAAGAACTCACTGAAAAACATTTTTAAATGAGCTGATAAGTATTATTATATCATTTCTACTGAGTGTATATTTTTATACATATTCCATAATAGAGTGAATTCATTGTTTTGTTTTACTTTTATTCAACCTATAAGAACTCACTGAAAAACATTTTTAAATGAGCTGATAAGTATTATTATATCATTTCTACTGTGTATATTTTTATACATATTCCATAATAGAGTGAATTCATTGTTTTGTTTTACTTATTGAGAACAAACATGTTCAAAGTCTCAATTTCTTTTTTCTTTTTTTTTTTTTTTTCTCCCTCAATGAAATGAACATTGCTTTATTTGGAAAGTCTTGAAAATAATCTAGCTTAAGGAAAAAATACCAAAGGTATTATTATGCAGCAATAGTTCACATTCTATATTTGTGATACTTAAAAATGTTTTTTGTATTAAAATACAGAAAACTCTACTTGGTGTCTTTTTCATAGTACTAGGGGGAAAGATTTTTCTGTAAAATATCTTAGTTTTGATAAAGCCTAAGCACTGTAATATTCTAAAGTTTAGAAAAATAGTCAATGGAAATAATTATAACAGTCTTTATAAATAGGCACCTTTCTTCTTTTGAGGGCTTGGGTCAGTTTTTTTTTTTTTTTTTAATTCTATGAATTTGAGATCATCTCTTCATCTTGCTTGAGTGTCCCTGCCCCCCACACATATTTTAATTACAGAATATAGTATTTTACTCATTTAAAGTTCCAATTACTTTTTTTTTAACTAACCATCAAGGAATCTACAGAATGTTGGGTGCTAAAATCTCCTGTCTTCACCCAAAACCCCTGGTGTCAAGCATGTACAGAGCTTTAACCAACCAAGGAATGTTTTCTTTCTACATTTAAAGTCATATGTATGAATGTATTTCTTACTTGACTAAGAATACGGCCACATTTTCTTCCTATTTTTTCCACCAAATCAAAAATTGGAAAATTCCAAGTATTTAGCTGCTCCATAATAGAGTCCAAGTTATCCATGACAAGAGGTTCAGGAGCAAGAATTGGTTTGTCCTGTAATAAAGATGAAAATATTTCAACAAAGCAATTCATGCCTTGGTAAGTTCAACGACTGAGTTTGCCTGGAAAAAAAAAGGCTTAAAACTTGAGTGAATGGGTGATCTTTAAAAACATCTAGATGAACAAGACATTGACTCAAAAATAAGGAGAAAACATTCTGATGCTGTTTCAGACCATGAATTTTGCATTATCAGGTGCCTGCCTATTGCTGGTACACACATGCTACAGTAAAAAAAAAAAAAAAAAAAAAAGAAATGTTTCTTTTGGTAATTTAAAGCTACCAAACATAAGTTAATATAACTGCTTTTTAGTCCACTGTGGGGTTCCTAAATAAAAGTTCAAGGGCTTCAGAACACTACAAAATAGTACGTAAATTTATCTCTTGATATGTTTATGTAAGTTTTTCTGGGATGACGGTTTCTGGCTTGCATTGGACTCTCAAAAGAAACCCATAAGTGGAGAGGGGGAGTAAATCAGCCTTATTGTAATTGATCAAATCTCTATTACTGCTTCAAAACCAGCACTATTCCTGTGGGATGACAGCAGCCACATTTTTCCGGGATTTTAATTTAATTCATGTGATATACAGTTCCCAAATAAACAAACATGTACTATATAAATGTATAGACATTTTACAGTTAGTATCATGGGAGGATATATATATATATGTATATGTATATATATACATATATATATATAAAATAATGCAAATAAGAAAACATGAATTATTTTACCTGAAAAATATCTTTGATTTAAAAATATAAATGGTAAATCAGGTAAAAGAAAAATGATAATAGTAGTAATTGATAGTCACATGACAGTCAATTATTTTCTACCATTTGCTGCCTACCCAAAATTAACCTGATTCAATTATATGTTTATCCTCTTTAAATGGATCTCTTTAAACACAAAAAATAATTCATTATTAAAGGATATTTTAATGAGTAGCAGGTGTCAATATAACCCTGATTTAATATAAGGAAAACAAATATTGTCTCACTTTCTAAATCAACGAGGTTCTAGAGGAAAAAAAAAAAAAAAGCAGAAGCCCTAAGACAGCTAACACATTTCACTTTATTGATTGATATTTATAAAATATTACTTGAGTAAATGAAATTTCATTTTCCTATTCATATTTACATTTTTAGATCGGGATAAGAAATATCTGTACTCATCTATAAAGATGAAGAATGTTTATGTTTTTAATCACTAAGTAATGGAATCATTAAGAGATCAATAAGACTTAGATAGGAAAAAATTATATTGATACATATGGGTAAATATGTGAGTTAAGTGATATGGGGCTACCAGGAATATCATGGTCTCTGGTGGGTAGGTGCTACAAGCTGACTCTTTCCTCATCGGCTCTCTTGGGCATTCGGTCTCATCTTCATTCTGTAGAATGTCACTGCTATCACTGTTGTTATTGGTTTCATAATCAGAGGTAACTTGAGCAACGTCATCTGAAATTGAAAGAGAACAGCTTATTAAGAAACTTGCAACAAAAAAGGGGTCCCATTAAGTGAGTATTCCTAAAATATGTATGATAAATACAGTGCTTAAGGAACTATTGCTTTCATAAGCCTACAAACCAAGAATATAGGATCATAGGGTAGGAAAAAATCACACATTTTTTAACCCAATAGACAGAATTATGACTTGATTTACCATTAAGTGAGTATTCCTAAAATATGTATGATAAATACAGTGCTTAAGGAACTATTGCTTTCATAAGCCTACAAACCAAGAATATAGGATCATAGGGTAGGAAAAAATCACACATTTTTTAACCCAATAGACAGAATTATGACTTGATTTATATGACATTCAATAAGTACACAATAATAATGCTTAGATCGGTAGTTCAAACTTTTTAAAAATCTTGTGGCTTTATATTTACTTTTACTTTATGCAGCCACCAACACGCTAAACCACTGAGTGGCTGACTAAAGCACTAACTCTAGAATGGACACGTGGGTGGGAGGAATTGAGTCGACACCCAATAACAAATTAGAACATGGAACAATAGCATGTGCTTAAGAGCGTGGTTGATCTTACATATCCAACCTTGATCTATAGGAATCTGTGGCTTCCTTCCTTAGCTGCCTCTCTCCACTGTTTCCCATTTCAGTCAGTACTAACCTGTGGTAACTACAGGACTAATCAGCTAATATCAAATGTGTGAAGAATCTATTCCCAGGGCAAAAAATCTCAGAAAGCTTCTCATAGCTGAATAAGGTGACTAAATGAAGTCTATTCAGTGCTTGCTATGTGTCAGATACCATCAAAAACACTTTCTTTGTATTAACTCATTTAAACCTCTCAACAATCCTATGAGGTAGCTTTATTGCATTACCATATTACTATTATCCTCACTTCATAGATAGGAAATTGAGACACAGAAAAAATAAGTAAATTGCTTAAGGCACACAGATGCTAAATTTTGCCACCCAAATTTGAACTCATGAAGTCTAAGCTTAGTTCTTACTCTTTACTTCTGATAAAGTTCAGTTTTTTTTTTCTTTTATGTTTATTGCCTATGAAATCATTGCTTTCCTCTAAGTCACAAAGATAATTTTCTGTGTTTTCTCTCAGAAGCGTTATTGTTTTAGCTTTTATATTTAGGTTTATACTCCGTCTTGGCAATGTTTCATATGATGTAACGTAGAGAGTGAAATTTACTTTTTTCTAATCCTATGGGATTGCCCTGGCATCTTTGTTAAAAATTCAGTGACACTGTAGGCTTGGATCTAATTTGGGCTTTCTACTCTATTCTACTTGACCTATTTGCTGTTCCTTTTGCTAGCACCATGCTATCTCAATTACTGTAGTTTAAGTCTTGTGGTCAGGTAATGTATTCCTTCTAACTTTGTTCTCTTTTTTTCAAGATAGCTTTGGATATTCTAGGTTTGTTATGTGTCCTCATCCATTTACTAACTGATTCCCCTTAAGTTGCTAGTGAATAATGGCTTCTGTTATATAGCTTATTCCAATTAGAAGTATCTTGTAGGACTTTTTCAAAGACCCATCTTTCATTCATCTTTCTCATACAACTGCTTCTATGTTATAATCAGACACAGTATGAAAATGTAATTGGCAAGTTTCAATCCCAGTCTTAGTAGAAAAAATGAAGAAGCACATTCAAAGGCAACAGCTCTAGATGAGACACCAAGGATGTTAATATTCCCCCTATTCTATCAGCCTCAATAGAGTTAGAGAAGATAAGGGACATAGAGAAGGAAATATTCTGTATCAATATCAGTAATGGCCACACAGAGAATTCTCCTTTTGAGTTTTCCTTTTCTATGTTCCTGACCTTTATACATCACAATACTGTCATAGGCAAATAATATAAATTTATTGAGTATATATGAAGAAATGCTGAATGAAATAATCAAGAATCATTCTTAGGTAGTAACTCATAGAAGCCATTTTTTTCTACCTTGTGAACTTTCAGCACTAACAAAAGCAACTCCCTAGGATTGCATCAAAAAATAAAATAAAAAATAAAAATCATCATAGTAATGGCAGCAAACACCAACTACTTCCACTGACCTGGATATGATTGTAAATGCTTTACATGCTTTAAGTAACATAATTCTTACAACAATCCTGCTTGGTAGGTTCTATTATTATCCTCATTTTACAGATGAAGGAACTGAGACACAGAGATGATAAACTTATAGGTTGCTGAATCAGGACATAATAAACCTGGCTCCAATGTCTGTGTTCTTAACATTTCCATGATACTGCCTCAAGAAAAAAAACTGTTTTATACAAGCATACAGTGATCTCGGCAGGGTCATTTCTTAGGGTCTGCAATGGAGATCTCCATAAAGTACCCTAACAAGGATGACTTTCCAATATCCAAGATAAAATAAAATTTCTATATATTTCTATACATTGTATAAAATGGCCTTTCGCTTCTAAGAAAGATATATGTTTGTCTATAGATATACAGAAACATTTGGGGCAGTTTGGCACCACAATTTTACCCATGATTAAATCTAGTAGAATTATGAATGATTTTGATTTCTTTCACTGTCTTTTTAAATTTCTAATCTAAGAAAATCAGAAACACATGCTTTTTGATCAGAAAAAAAGGAAAGTGATTTTCATTTTGAGGAACAGAATTAAAAGAATTACCTGTTCTTCTTGGTGTCCGAATGGCTGCACTGCTTCTCTCCAGGGGCCCATCAGCAGAAACCCCTTGGGAATAGGGCCTGCCACAGCTGAGAAACATTGGAACAGCTGTTAAGTATATGCTCTTTTCAAAAAATCATAGGCATACACCATCTATATGTACATCAAGATAGAAAAAAATAATCAAATATTCATACCTTTTACTTATTTGTTTGAGGGAAAAAAACTCAATTTGTTCCTTACGTAGATGCTGATACACGGCATACTGCTTTCTTTTTATGAGAGTGATACAAAAGATCGGAAACTTCACTGGACTCTCAACCTTCTCTGTAATTAGACCCCACTGGAGGTGAAACTACCAGCAAAATTTTGTGGCATTATTCAGAGAATCTGGGGACAGACAGTCTGCTACCTACTTATAGCAGTGATTTTGGAAATGCTGATGTGTATTTGGTCAAAAATATTTTCCCCAATGAATCCCTTTGTAAAGCCTCATTATATTTATTTCTATCGCTTAAGGAATTTTATGTCCAAAGAGCTCTTTAAGATTGCATGTGTGAAAACAGAATAATAGTATATATATTTTTTGCCTCAAAAATTGATTTCCCCCGCCCCCCCCCAGACTGATGAGTTACCTGTTAAGGCCTATTAAGGAAATGAACAAAGTAGAACACTTTGATGAAGGGTGAATGTGGCTAACTGAGAAAAATGAAGGCAACTGAAAAGTAGACAAGGCTCTTCAACAGAGGAGGCTAGAGGATGTAGAATACTTCTGCTTTCTCAACAGTTTTGACTGTATTATAAATAAAAAGTAACTCCACGAATGGCCTGGCAATTTCCCCTCTCACTTATCTTGTTTAGAGAATTCATGATTAGTTTTTAATTCCACATTTTGCTTCTGGGTTCCTTCTTTCTGCTTAATATCATGAAGGGTTTCAGAGGGTTTCTGTTTATTTGATATTTAATCACAGAATACTCACTCTAAAAGGAAAAGAAGCAAGTGATAGTTTATAATTTAATATACTAAATGTCACATCACTCTTTTCCATGAATTGTATTTACATGTATATTAGAGAAAAACACTTTCTAGTTAGAGAGTATTTTCATCCTAAGTTAATTATTTTTCAAACCTTGAAGGTAAGTAGAAAAGCATCACATGCAAAATATTTCTAATTATGAAATCCCATTAGTTTGACTTCAGAAATCAAAAAAAAAAAAAAAATGACAGGACCAAAGGAAGAAGAAAGTATATGCAAATGATGTGCTTACATTCTCAGATGAAACTTGGGAGAAGTAGCATTTATTAGTTTTGAGATTTTTCATTACAAGATAATACTTAAAAAGAACATTTGAATCAGTAGTTCAAATATACTACC